CGTGTATATGTGATGTTAACTGACGTTTCGGAGGAACGTATCCCCTCCATCTTCAGGGTAGAAGGAAGATGGAGGCGATACGTTCCTCCGAAACGTCGGTTAACACCACATATACACGGTGCCAAATCCCAGAGGACTGCTTTCTTCATGCATTATAGTAATTTACTTTTAATATGTGATGGTTATTCCCCCGGGGGTTTCTACTGATAATGGAGTGTCCTCCTAGTTCTAAAGAGCAGTTTCCACCTTTGAAAGGAACTTTATATTTTAAAGTGTAATAAATATACAAAGATGGAAAAGAAATCCAAATTAAATTTGTCAGAATGCTTGTCGATATTCCGTTACTTGCAATTAAATGAAGAATCATAATTGCTTCCTCCATCATACGCTCGTTATAAATTCTGTTCGGTTTGTGCGTTCGAGACTTGTAAATAAAGACAGATTCCTTGGAGGTTTGATATGCAACGTTAAGAATCCTGATTCACAGACGCAGAACTCTGTTTCTCGGGCGATGACCACCAGACGATCTCTCCGTCTGAGACTTAGTTAATTGCAACAACCAACTTCCTCTCTTCTTAATTATCTTCCCTTGATTAAATAATTTGTGTTAAATAATACAACTTTTATTTTCTGTCTCATTTCGCACGTCAGTTACGGTTGTCTTCCCTTTATTCTGATTCTACGCAGTGTGATTAGATTTGGAATAACCTGAACAGTATATCTTTGTAGGACTGTATGAACTAAATAGACATAAGGCCAGTAAGGTATGCAAATTCCCGAAGAATGTATCTCGAACATATGTGTTCTCCGATGTTAAGTTCAATGATCCAAAATGATCACATTCTAAACGTATTTGCCATAGTTCTATTTTAATATTATCCTCCCATCTATATATTGGTGTGACAAGTGGGAACCTCATTTGCGATGAAGTAACTAAACAAGAAAGCAAAAATTTTCAATGCCATTTTCATGACCTTGCCCTGCTCTGCCAATTAGTCCCTCACTGGGGCCTCTGGGCATCGCTGGAGTATCCTCAGAGACCACGCCCATTGTGCGAAATAATAATTTGATACCTTTCAGCAGTTATTTTTCTGAATTAGCTGCAAACATCCTCCGTAATATTTTCATTGTGTGTACTGTAAACGTACAATTAATTTCACACACACAGGATCCATGTAACCCTGATAACGTGAAGGGCAGTCAGCCCAGGAATGCACACCTTGTCTGCTAGACACAGAGCTCATTATCCACGTCACAGGGGCAAGAAACTGATTAACTGGTGGGGGTGTGGGTAGCAAAACTCCCGCTTAACACATTCCTAACATTAACTGTAATTCCATACAATAGAGTCCTTCGTGAGATGGCAATAACTGCGTTAGCGAAGAAATTCTCGCCTTCTATGAGACTTGAAGGTTCGTTACGGTACCCTACCTCAAGCTAGTTTAATTAATCGAAAACCTCACATTTTATTTCTGTAAGATCCATTTTAATAGGAGCCGGGATAACATAGTCGGTATAGCGACAGGCTACGGGCTGGACGACTGAGGAGTCGGAGTTCGAGTCCCTGTAGTTTTAAGAATTTTCACTTCTCCAATCGTCCAGACCGGCACTGGGATCCACAAAACATCCTATACAATGGGTAGCGGAGGCTTTTTCCTGGGGGTAAAGCGGCCGGGGCATGAAGCTGACCACTCACCTCCAACTAGTGCTGAGGTCAAGAAAATTTGGATCTGTACAACAACTCCCCCATACGTCTTAATGGTGTAGTGTTTAATTAATTAAGCACAGGGACAACTTTACCTTACCTTACATTAAGATCTATTTTAATAGTATCCGTTCATCTACACCGAATTCTCCCAAGTTATCTCTAGGTACTCTATCTGCACTCAGGGCATGGATGTTTAGTTTGTGTGTGTGCGTTTTTCTGTGCTTGTGTACAGGTGCGACGAGCTGATCACTCGCCCAAGTCCTACCGAACGTGTAAGATCTAGAAAAACCGAAGTGAACGGAGAAGTTCATGGAGGTAGGCCTAGGCCCACTGGGGCTGTAGTGCCAAGGAAAAAAATGACATTTTATGAAGTGCGTATATTATGAAATTGTTCATTATATAGTTTCCTTCATCCTCCTAATATTTCCTCTCTCTTAGGTCAAAATATTCTGCTCAGCATTTTACTCACAAACGCATCCTACAGCGAAGTGTGACGCTGCACCAAGTGACATTACAGTTACACTTCTTGTGCCAGTTATCCAACTGCTGCGCCTCCCAACTGACGAGCTGTGGGTGAAAGCTTCTGCGCATCAGACCTTAAATTTCTGGCTATAACAAGCGGCGTATAGAAGTGGATTCGCTCGCTCTCGGTAGGCTTCAGAATGCAACATGGAACCTGGGCATTGACCAAGACGTAGAAGGCATTGTCCTTTTGCCTGCCCGTCAGGCAGCAACAGGATGCACAAGTGCAGACACAGTGCGATACCGTGTGTACGATTCCACTGCTTCTGTTACAGGTACACACATGGCAAAAATTTTTGAAGCTCCAAAGCTTTCTGGTAAATCGTCCGTTATTTCGAGCAGGGACTGCCTCATATTTTGTTATACATCGATATGTTGAACGATTACATTGAGTAAAAAATAGGTAAAGCTGTCCCTGTAAAGGGCCATGAAGGCCCATAGGGCTGTGAGACGTCCAGGCTCCCACATTTTGTAGACAATTGGGTCACACATGGCGGTAGGATCGTCAGCCTTACGCACAGGCCGCTATTTACTCCCCTGGTATTCATTTCTGTTAAGAGGCTCAGTCGACCCCAGGGCCATAGCGAGGCTGGAAGGATTAGGCCAAGTGGAAAATAAATAACCCCATCGGGATTCGAACCCGCGACTTTCCAGCTTGTAGCATAGTGCATGAACCAACTACGCTATCGCGTGCCTCCATATTTTTATGAGTTTCTTGCAAAAGCGCTTTAAATTAGTGCATAACTGGGATGTAATTTTTCATCAGAATGTTTCATCTCTGAAACCAGTGGACGTATTTCGATAAAATTTGGTATTGGAGGGGGGTCGGAATAGTGACTAGCTACTGGCTGGACGAACAATGGGTCGGAGTTCGAGTCCCAATGGGGCCAAGAATTTTCAATTCTCCATGTTGTTCAGACCGGCTCTGGGGTCCACCAAACCTCCTAATCATGAAGGCGTATAGGGGAGTGGATATTTAGATCCACATTTTCTCGACCTCGGCACTAACTGGAGGTGAGTGGTCAGCTTCACGCCCTGGCAGCTTTACCCCCGGGGAAATAGCCCCCGGTACCCATCGGATAGGAGGTTGGGTGGACGCCAGAGCCGGTCTGAACGACGTGGAGAAGAGAAAATACTTGACCCTAGCGGGACTCGCACTCCAATCTCTTGGTCGTCCAGCCCATAGCCAGTCGCTATAACGACTACGGTAGATGGGGGTAAAGGGCGGCCCGCGCGTAAGACTGACAACCTTACCGCCATCTGTGAGCAGTCTGTTCAAAGAACATTTGGGAGCCTCGACGTCTCACAACCCTATGGGCCTTCACGACCTCTAGTTCCGAGTGGTGTGTATAAGGGGTCAATAAATCCAATCATCCAATCCAAACCCCGCCTATAATTCACGCACACCCCTATAAAACGTAACGTTATCAAATGTTAATTTGTATGCAGATATGTAAGGGCAAGAATGAAATGTATGTTCCTCTGTGTGGAACTGGACAAGTATGTGAAAGCACAGAGTTCTGCCTTCGGAACTGTAGCGCCGGTATTCCTGTAACTCCGATGCCACAATTTATGAACCACAGGGGATTACAGTTAAGAGGATCTCACTTTTCACATACACGACTGTACAAACCTCAAACCTGACACATACAATATATATATTTTTATGATTTTTGCTGACTACTGACGGCGTTTCGATTGGAGATGGGCTACTTACATGTCGTAATTACAAGTAACTATAATACTACTGTTAAAATCCACACTTTACAAATCACTAAAGGTTATGCTATCCTTTTAGTCTGCTGTCAATAGTCGTTTTCCGGTAACGAATCTTAACAATGGAGATTCTTCAGCTTACAACTGCACCGGCTAAACCTTCTCTTCACAGACTCCCTTACAACTGACCATTGTTTTTTTTTCTAGTGGGGTGGGACTAAGTCCCTTGCACTGAGGCCACTTCTGGCCTATTGTACCAGCACCAAATGATAGGTGAGGGTGATTGTGGAGCAATTGGTGGAATGAAGATTGGCAGGGGAAACTGAAGTACTCGGAGAAAACCTGCCACAGCGCCACTTTGGCCACCACAAATCCACAAAAAACTGGGCATTCACATGGTCAAGAAATTCTCCACCTTTTATGGAACCTGAATGTTCAGTAATAGGTCTACAGCCACCCTTCGAATCTTCATCTAACCACAGTCATATCTATCATCCCCTTTGATGCTATATAGCTTGTACAGTTAAAGAGCATCATTAAATTACCTAAGAATCGCTGTCACTATGACTGATGCTGCAAATGAACACTACTAAAAAGAATGTAGTGTCTGAAAACTGTAGAATGAAAACTTAGAGAATTTTACAAAAGCAAAGAGAATACATTCTATGCAGCTGTTTTAATTTGTTTTGTTATCAAAGCTAAGAATCTACCCTACTAAATTAAGAAAAGCAAGAGAAATTAAATATCACTGCATTGTTTTACTCTCCCCCCATTTCTTTGGAGTAATACTCGCTCTTCATCTAGGATGCTGTTGCTTTCCTTGTCAATACAAGAATATATTGTAGCTATAACTTTAACAAGATTATGGAGTGATTTTCATATCTTTGGGTGCTCTCTAGCAGGTCTATGGTAGGAAACAGAAGACAAAATACCTAATTTCATCTGTATATCAGACAGCAATGATGAGGCAAAGGAAAATAAGAGAGATGATTCTTAGAGGGCCAAACAGCCAAGGAGTAGGAAACAATGATACATTTTCTATAGAAATTAAAACTTCCTTATTTGCAATATTTTTTTCACTGAGCAACACATAGCATGAGCATGTTCTTCTGCCTGCATCACATGAACCACTGATCTGTCCAGTGATCACCATTGTGCATCACTCAAGTACTCAGCATGACGATTAAGTTACAATTCATTACCTACTTTGGTTTTTAATATAATTTAAAATGGCCATTAACTTTCATTAAAATTATACTTTATATATACTTTCCAGTTCCCTTGATGTTTATGTTTTTTCTTTAACATTTTTATCAACATAATTCCATGTAGACATTTTCCCATGATCCTGCAGAACAAGAATAAACACAATTTAAGAATAGTTTTTTCAACAGATAATGATTTGTGGTTTTATAATAACAGAAGTTATACATTACCATAAAAATATATCAAGAGAAGAGAGTTTATTTACAAAAAAAAAACAAACACGGAAATGGTTAAATCAGTATATCATTCATCTTTCTTTATTGAATAATGTGGAAGTTATAAACATATTGGTGGAAATAATTACAAATAATCTATATTAAGTTATTTCCTGCCAAAATATGTAAGGAGTTCCTCTAAATAGGACTATTTTCAACACATAAATAAGTCCTTACTAACATATTTCCTTAACAGTATCCCTAAATCACAGAGCTGGAGTAGCTGAGTTAGTGTAGTGACTACAACATATATGGATTTCCCTGGAGTTGAAGTGGCTGGATTGTCAAGCTAACCACTCACCTCCATTTCATTCCAAAGATTAAAAAAATATGGCTATACCTCACTCCCCCATTCCTCTTAAGGGCGTTGTGCTTAATTAAGCACTGTGGGAACTTTGTCTTTATTCCCAAATTATGTCCAATTGACCAGTCACAATATCAACGGACTTTGCTTGCATACGAACTTAGTGCAAGTATCACAATTCATATTTACCTTTATACAAATTCCTGATGTCAGAAGGTCATCACGTAAGGTATCACATGCATTCAGCAGGGCTGTATTTTTCACTCCCCTTTTCTTGACATTATCAGCCTTTAATTAAATAAACATATCAGCAAGGAAACCATAACTTGCTTAGTTTAAATAGATAACATTTCTGATATTGTGAAGAGACAGTGTCATAGAAGTATAAAAGTTCTACCATATCATAAAGGTGCTTATGGCCCGGCAGACTCACCCATTTATCCATATACTGACTGAACAGCCTCTCTGGTAATTAACTAGAAAGTCTGCATCTACACTAATCTACAATTCAGCAAATGAGGTAGGATTACTGCCCTGTTTCATACCAACCTGTGCATTTGTATCTTCTCCCGAAGGGTTCAGGGCATTATGTCTCACTTGGTTTCGAAACTGTACCACCCTGTCGAGAATCTTCCCCAGATACAGGCCATGATCCTTCGTCTGCATACTGGATTCCTAAACACAATGAATCTCACTCATTCAGTAATGACATATAAAAATACTTCCCAATTATGTGGTTATTTTATGCATTTTTATATACTTCCTGTAAACCAAACATATGTTTACAATCCTCTGACTAGCCTCACACGTATATGGAAATTACCACTACAATCAATATGATGGGAACACAAATTTTTTAAGTGGAAGCGACAGTAAAGGCACCTTATTCTGAGTTCTAACATCTGATCAGGGAATAGATCCTCAAAGAATATACCGTATTTACGCATGTATAGGCCGCACATTTTTTGCCAAAAATTCAAGAGGAAAACTGGGGTGCGGCTTATATTCGAAATCACACTTCATTTAAAAAAAAATAACGTTCACAAATATTGGAATAATTTCTACTCCTGAAATAATATTCCAAGAAAATTATTTTTTCTATAATTTCTGTCTGAAAATTGTGCTGTGGCCTATACACGCACGCAGCCTATACATGCGTAAATACGGTATAACTTTTGTAGAACGAGAAACAATATGGTAGTCATAAAGAAACTATGTTTTACATTTAGTGTATCACTAACTTCATCACAATTAGGCATGTGAAATTTTGTATAGAGACAGATCACAAACACACATACAAATTCTGTATGAAACATACATCTATAAATTAACAATTAGAAGCATGGTGATTGAAGGGGAACTACAAGGTTATGCAATATAAATTTAATGTAATTGGAATATGTACTGGAAACTGCATACACAATTAGATCACTAAATTGTACAATTATTAATTTATAGTTTCTATTAGCTTCAGCATACAAAGTGAAGGATTTGAAGAAAAGCAGACATTATAAGTCCTTCCCAGGATTTTTGTCTCCCTGGAGTCACTGCAATCAGCAGATCAAGACTGTACTTCTTCCGGCACCACCCCTCCCCTACAGGTACGTGTTGTGAATCTTTAACCTTACCCTTAGAATGGATCCATTCTATTTCTTCTATCCAGCTGCTACATTTAGATCAATGATGAAGAAGTACAGAGTTTTTTCCTTGTGTATTTTATTACATTTTTGTTCCTTCAGAAAACACATTTCTTCTCATTAAGCCGACAGAACACGGAAATTTTTTAAATTATATGAAAGTTTATTCTGTTATTATGAGTCTATATTTACTGTAAGACTGTGTAATTAAATGATATACTTACTTTTCTGTTTGAAAAATCAATTCCAAATTTTTCCAGAGATTGCTGAATGAAGGATGCCACAGCTGCTATTGCTAGTGGACTTCTAGCAGACTCTGTATCCTAAAATTGTAATGGCACTACATAAAAGACAGTTGTTAAAGCAGTCAGCAAAGCATAAAAATGTTGAGTAGTTTAAAATGTGAAGTGTTGGAACACAAGAATTGCAGTGTGGTACATACAGCACAGAACTCTTTAACTTCATACAATATCTTGAGACAGAAACTGCCTTGAACAGCACACAATCATTCTTCTTGCCAAGAAATGTCCTACTTTCAGTTGTGCTCACAAAAGCAGATCACACATTGATCTGACTGTATTCAATATATCTCCACACTCAGTTTTTCTATTATCCATTTTTGAGTTTTCTAACCAAAACTCTGTATGTATTTCCTGTTTCCCCATGTGGCTCTCCCACCAGATCCCACAAATAAGAATATGGTAACATTCCCTTCACATTATGTTAAGGTAGTATGTATTGTAGAATAGCTGTTATCCTCATATATATGTATTTGTAGCAAGTATTTTAGCGATGATCTCAGGATATGCAATACTTATTATGTTTCATACACAATTAAGATTTAAATTTTTTTTGTTAGAATATCACATAAACAAAGGCTTATCAATTATTATTTTTTTATTCATAAGAAGTGGTGGAATCATTAGAAATGTTCTAATATTATTTATATGCAGTAAAAGTTCATGTAAAATATAGAAATAGATAAGTGAGTGCAACAAAGATTTTACTGCATTTTGTTGAATGTGAGCAAGTGAATATACTTAAATAAATAAATAAATAAATAAATATGTGTAGTCCACAGCCCATTTTCTATGGATCCAGGGAATGGAAATATAACTGTATTTTTAGTCAGTGTTGTACATTAAACAGTTTCCACATAAATTTCACATTACAACAGAATATATTTTTGAACAGTATTATTTATCAGTGTATAGTGTATGACAAAATTCAACAGGCTACTACTTCTTGAAAAATGTTCAAGCACATGTAAAAAACAATTTAGAATGTGTTTGGAGCAAGGTGTTTAGAAGCCATCATGAGGGGAACATCTGTAACACACATAAATTGGTTGTACTGAATTCTAAATATTTAGCCACTGGCCAAGATGGCGCATGTAGTAACACTTGTCACTTAAATTTGAGAAGTGCCTACTTTGAATCTCAATCAGGGCACTGACTATCCTGACTGAGATGTTTCATGGTTTCCCTCAATTGCTCTAGACAAATTCCAGGATAGTACTTCAAGTTAGGCTTTGACTCCTACACTCCAAAGCCTTTTTAATTCATTATTTACTAATCATCTCACCATTTGATGTTATATAATCTGAGGTATTGGCAGTATTATTAAATAAACCATAAATAAATAAAACAAATCCCTAGTTATACCAATTACAACAGTCCACACCTTACTGACAACTGCTGACCCAATTTGAACAGGATTCATATTTTACCACTGGTTGTGGCTATAATCTGTATGATAGAATTGAAACTGCAAGCTACAGATTTTAAAAATTTCTCATGCATAACTATAGGAAAATTCAGAACAATTCTTGACAAGTACAAGGCACCACAGTGAAGAGTTTGGCAAGCTGCTGCCCAGAATTCACCAAGCCTTTCTTATAAGTAATGTGCAATATTATGTACATACAGGATGCTGAAAAAATATAACAGATACTAACATGTTCACATTTCTGATGTAACATTTTATTGGTAACTCCCACAAGTTCTGTAATGGCACTCATGGCTGTGGCAGTATCAAAATCGTCTGAAAGAGCTTCCAGAAGTTTTGTTTTGACATCAGAAATGGCCTGAAATAATACAAAGCTTTGTGTCATATGAACTCATATATAAGAAGACATTATCTACAACACAGCAAGTGTTGTTAGGCGTTCTTCATGATGTAAAAAAGGATGACTTATGTAAAGGTCATGTCAGTCTGTATGTTACCTAGTTATCAGTGCCTAAACTGATGAACAGGTATTTTTAAAATGCGATAGTGGAAAGTTGTACTAAAAATTTACTACAGTCATGCATATCATATAGTGTTATTTAACACTTTGCGGACCGGTGATTTAAATATTTAAATCACCATGGGGACCGGCATTTTTATACCTACTACCCTAACTTGTGCACTGCTCACTTTAAAAATTAATATAAAATCTCCTAATTAATTTTATGAGCTAAAATTTTCGGAGAACACTTACCAATGCTGCTAGAAGTGCTTAAGTGTGTGATATTTCTGGAAACACTCCCCTTTGTGAAGTGGCATTACACACTTGCAAATGTAGACAGTCATAGTCCTTTTTTTGTGAACTGCGCCAACATGGCATTGCCTAGAAGGATGCTTCCCCTTGGAATGTTCACTCTTCACAATTTTCACGAGGGTATGTTTCCGCATATCACCTGACAGTCGCCCAGGGGTGTCCACATGAGGCCTGTGTGGGGTGTGATTTGATGGGCTAGGCTGCACTAAGTCTGTCTGACTCTGGTTCTGCCACCACCATCTGGTCTGTAGCCCAAGCCTTTGCCACATTCATCAGAAATGCTTTGTATTTCAATTTCGAATCAGGGTTTAGATTTTTTTAGATTTTTTGCTGTCCCCGCAATGTTACTACGCGCAATGTTATTACCTGCATTATCGTCGGAGCTACTGTCAGTTTTACAGTCTGTGGCCACAATTCTTTGTTCTCCCCTTTCACTGCCGCTCTCTGAATCACCATTACTACGCGTCTCACAGATAAGCCAGGTCAGCTAGGTCTTCGGAGGAGAATTTGTCCTTGATCCATTCTCCTCACTACCTACTGGCTGATACACACAGCTTGAAGAAGGCAAAGCATTTTCCTTTATAGTTGGTTAAGTAAACATCGAGGTCAAGTTACTGACGGCTAACTAAACACTCCAGAGTCTTATCATGCATCTGCAGGAGGTTGCGTGCAATGAAGGTGGCGCCAGAGCAATGTATAGCGTGTTGCAACTTATTGTGTCAGAAAAGGGCCAATTGGCCCACCCGGTCCGCAACGCTATAGAAACGCAGAGGGCCAATTGGCCCCTCCAGTCCTGAATATGTTAAGTTTTGATGAAATTCAATGAATATATATATATATATATATAGTAACTGGAACAAATACAGTTTGCAGTCTGTTCTACATTAGGAACATTCAGTTCATGTAGCAATGTTATCAATATATCTAACAGAAAAACTTGTATTACAGATAACTTACTGAGGGCTCTAGTTTTGTATTTGTGAACCTCATTGCTAAAATTAAATAAATTTTTATTATTAATTGTGTATAAAAGTAATGATTATATGCACTGAGAGTAGACCGTCATTATTTCCAAAGGTCATACATGGCCTTTTTCAGAACCAATTCATTTTTGTTACATTGAATATGAGATGCCTTTTCATAACAATAGTTGGCCATTCCAGTTCTCCTCATGCTAACTGAATACATAGCCTCCTTTATATAAGACTACAAATTAACCTGTTCATGCATATCATAAACTGTTAATGAAATTTTGGTTCCTTCAAAATATTGGTACCTATCCACCAAACATGATGTCACATTCCAGAAGGCAGTATAATTTTCATATTCATCTCTGTGAGAATCTAAGAATTAGAATTTATTCTACCATTAATTTCATGATCCTTGGTGGTTTGGAACTGAATATTTCTCAGAATAGTGTGTCCTTCCGGACACTATTTCAGTAAATTTCTGAGGAGTGTGGATTTGTATGAAGTCACTTCATCCAAAATGAGTTCTTAATCAAGCTGAAAATTAATTTAACTGTATACAAGAACTTCGCTATTTCAACAGAACCTTAAACAAGATTTTGGAGGGTAGAGGATTGGTTGGAACTGAAAGGAATGCATATTTATTATGAACACAAGAGCAGCAGGACTTGAAATGGTCAAGCATAATATCTATAGTGTTAATGCTGTGGGTGACTGAAGAAAAGAAAGTGATTCTAGCAAGCATACAGTCATTATCATCAAGGATGTCAGAATAATTTATGTTGTCAGAAATCTCCTGTATTATTAAGTTCATATATAGTGGAAATAAATGTAATTGTTAATTTACTTACTTAGTGACACCTCTGTGTAAAATGTAGTAATGTTCAACACAAATACACAGAGCCATTAATTTGCAGACTGGCATAAATTAAGCTGCAGATAACAATGCTTTACAAAATTATACTAGAAACTGGAAAGACTGTATTTAAAGAATAAGACAAAAAGAAAAAATAATTCTGGGGAACAACAAAGACCTTTAGAAAATATGTTTTGTAATACCTATAACAGAGTTAAAGAATTATCTACATGCTCATTCCTTCTACTCTTTAGATGAATACTTCAATGTAAATAGAGAATGATGTAAAATTAAGTTATATTAATTTTTAAGCTAAAATTGCCTGTACTTATGTATGTAACCTTTTGACTTGTTCTGTATCCAAAGGTACTAACCTACTTAGGATTTATAGAATGTAAATAAATTCAATTCAATTCAGAACAGTGGAAGGATGGTAATATAAACCACTACAAGCTTAACACCATTACAACCTTTGTATGTTTACAGCTATCTTCTTTTATACTAGCTTTACATTCACAGAAACAGCATTTTACCTTCAACAAATATGATTCATTGATATCTCCAAGAGCTGTATAACCATTAACATATGCATCACAATCAGTGAGAAATGATTCAATCTTCTTCATGATAGCCACAGCATTCTTCATGGCTGTATCAGTGTACTCCATGCCTACAGATAAAATAATGTCCAAAATTATTTCAAAGGAATGCTTAGAAACTATAACTAATTACAAAAGTGTTTACAAATTCCTTGGTTCTTCCATATGCAGAGTGGGAGGGATATATTTGCTTCCAACACACAAATTAATCAATGCATAATTCATTCACCTGGAACAGCAGTTCCCATCCATTATGTATTATTGGGTCCTGGGCACAATAAAGGCTAACATTTGAAATGAAAACATATATTTTATCAGCTTCACAATATCATCTCACCTCAACAGAACTAAGCTCAAGGTCTAATGGTACAGATGCATGTATTTCAAAGTGGGTAACAAGTTAACTTCATGTACATTCAGTAGTATGTATATATCCATGCACACATTACATAGGCTAGCAGTAAGATAACTTCTGCATGCAAGATGGTATGAGAAACTGTATTCTCAAAATGTTAATAAAACAATATTTGTAATAGGGCACAACACATCTTGAATCATCTTTTCTGTTTCCCCATACTTCCAACTGAATAGAAACAAGACTATTCTGAAAAATTACTTACTGCTTCGATAAGGTGACAAGAGACAGAAAATTCTGAATTCATTTGCAGAAAATGACTGAAGGAAATCATGGATACTAATAGTATTCTTTAAGGACTTTGACATTTTTTCTTCTCCTTTTACATGTAAGTGACCTACAACAAAGAAGCCATTATAATTACATAAATGTATAAGTTTCATTTATTTAATTTTGAGCCAGTTGTATTGAAATATTTAATGCTTCAATATATATATATATATACATATCAGTAGAAATTTGTTTTAAATTTTGCTTCTCCCACAACAATTATGAAAGGAACATCACCAGAAAATGCTTAATGAGAAAGAAACTTGACACAATTGTGGACATACATTAAGTCACAGAGGCTGAAAGTATGTGACTAGTTTAAAGATTTACATTGCATATAGAAAAAAAAAGTATTTATTTCTAAAAATACCCTAGCTGCTATCCATTCTACAAATGTTTGTAACTTATGGGTTGTATCTGAAACCGAACTGTACATGAAACCTGGAGTGTCAGAAATCATTGGGCACAAAGAACAAAATGGTGGCTGTACAAAAGGCATTTGATGGTAGTGGTGATAAAGGAAGAAGAGGGGGGAGGATAATANTGATGGACGGAGACTCAGCGACACCACTACACTCACGCTATCGGGGAACGGCACTGCAGTCGCGGGGAGGAGTTGCATCCGTTCTGCGGTGGTATGACTCACGGCAAATTGCAGCCGCGGCGCGCACTTGATTGTACGCACTGTATAATGCATTAACAATATCAAACAATAAAAATTTTACATGACCAGAATTTCATAGCAAGACCATTTGTGCACAAGTATAGCATGCTTGCCTCTGAGTTAAAATTTCATATTATTTTTACGTTATAAATTCATATCACCTAATGAAGACACAAAAAATATAAGATTTGTAGGACTAGAAATCTAGAACAAAAAAGTAGGATTTATGAGTTCTACTACCAACTCCTTGTTATTATTTCCATCCTGTTTGCAGTCATTTAGACATGGACTGAGATAGGAAACAGGGCATATTGAAGGCTGCAGAAATAAAGTTAATGAGAACCTGCAATATTAAAGACAGGTATGAGAATGGTTCTTGAACAATTTAAGCACATTATTTCACAATAATATAAGATGATTTCCCACATAACTTGTTCCACTACAAAGGCGTGTTTTCTGTCACAATGATGTGGGTGATGCAGAAGAGTGACTGCAGTGGTATCAGTGACTCCTCAGCCAAAGAAATCGTGAATACAAACTTGGACAAATGCTACTTTTAGTTCATGAGTACATTTGGAATGGAAAGTGGTAGCAGAGGGAACAATGCACATAAACAATGACAATTATGAGGAGTAATAATTTGGTGTAGGCAATTAAATTAATAAATATGGTGTACATTAACACACTGTAAATAGTATGGTACATGCTTACGGTTAAAAACTGCCTAACTTTTAGGGTGAAAAACAATTTCAGCAGTAGAACGTTTTCACATCTGTGAATCACCAATATGTATAATCTCACCTGAATGAAGCCAGTAGTTCACCCACTGGCCCACTCCATGATAAACACAACTCTGAGCCTCTTCATTCTCATGATGAGGAAACAGCAAATCCACACCGCCAGAATGAATGTCAATATTAGATCCCAGAATATCACTAAGAATGTAAGAGTTACATTAGTACCAGGGAAAAATAAGAAGAAGAAAAAAGACCTATTCCAAGAAATCATTTGTCCTTGCTACATGCCACTGAAGATGCACGTAATTTGGACAGAACCAGCTACAGCTGGATAATAAACGATCAGCACTCTCAATTGCAAGCTTTTTGTAATGTATATTAACATACAGAACCAAAGAATTCAGCAGTTCAAGTCAATATTTACTATGTAAGACACTTTTTCTGTTACTTCATGCTTTCACACCAAGTGCCAAAAACTGGTATTATATAGACAAAGGCAGTTATGTGAAAACACAACACTGTATGTACATTCTTTTTGATATAGTCTATTACAGATTATTTTAATTTGTGAAACATATAAGATGAGATTTAAGAAAACTGTCTCAGAAAGGAAATGAATCATGTGTTTCACCTTCAAAATATCCAAATATAAAGCTAGAATTTAAGAAATGTGTAAAAATGTGCAGCAACAGTAAGCTCACCAGGGTAGTACTGGAGCAACTAGAACAATTATTATCACTTCTTACTGGCACGTAATTTCAGATGCAAATTTAGGACGGAGAGAAAAGTTTCTCTATCCCATTGATACTCATGGCAGTGGTAAATGTTTCACCAGCCATATTAAAGAATGTAAATGATGTTTTAGAAACAAACTAAAGAGTTTCAAGATAAATCAACATTAACAAGCACCTTGCCATAGTGGAGCACTCTATATGCCATCCTGGTCGCCCAGCTCCTGGTCCCCAAGGACTTGGCCAGCATGGTTCTCCAGGTTTGGATCCTTTCCACAGGGCAAAGTCCATTGCAGACCTCTTATATGTCACAGATGAATCTTCTCTGGGAATGTTAGGCAAAAGTTTGCCATATTGAGTATAAGACTTTGTGTCAAAGTAAACGGAGCCTGTACAGAATAATGTCTGTGATCAGATATAACTGCTAAAAAAAACATCAATTGATGAATTAGTTTTACGTAAGTAAATTGAAACATGCAAAACTTGGGCCCTCAGTCTTGGGGAAATCACAGATGTAGGATGTTTTGAAACAAAGTACTAAGAACAATATTTGGACATAAGAAAGAGGAAGCAACAGGATGATGGAACAAATTATATGAGGAGCTTCATAAGATGTAATATTCACCAATATTACTGGGGTGATGAAACTGAGGATTAGATGCAAAGATATGTATATAGCATACGTAAGGAGCTGAGAAATGTATACAAATTTTAGTCAGAAAATCAGAAGAGAAAAGACCACTTGGAGACCCTGGTGATGGAGGCAATATGCTCCTTTGAAACGTTGATACCCACATGAGACTATGTCACATCATAACCCAGAAAACTACAATATGTATTGTGGAGAATCTCATGATTTGTGCACTTCACCAAATATTACTAGGATGCAAATCATGGAGGATAAGATTGGGATGTGTAGCATGGATAACAGCTGAGAACTGCATATAAAATTTTGGTCAGAAAACCTGAAGGGAAGAGACCATTTGTAAGACCTTGATGTAGACAGGAGGATAATAGTAAAATGGATCTTAAAAGAAAGAAAGTGGGAGGGTGCAGTCTGGGTTAATTTGGTTCATGGCAGGGACTAGTGGAGGGCTTTTGAGAATATGAAAATGAACCTTCAGGTTCCATATAAAGGAAGCAATTTCTTAAGTACCTTAGTAACTATTAGTTTCACAGAAAGGACTCTCCCCTATGCAATTAGCTAGTTAGGGATGAATCATCATTTTCCCTATTGACAAGGACTAAATACATTATAACATAATGTAAAAATTACAGGAGTGTTATTTTACTCAAATATCTGTGGAAAAATGTCTTGTAGATAATTCCTTCTATTTGTAAGTAGTCACTGCATACAACAGGCATGGGTAACATGAGNAGAGCATGAATCCGGTTTCTTTATTGCCACACCTTGTATGTAACAGTAACATAAGCATAATGACACACATAAAAACATGAGAACAGTAACATAAGCATAATGACACACATAAAGACTTCACTACATTTGAAGGATAGACATCACAAAGTCACATAATATGTACTTGCATGTATAATCACAGATATCATCTTTCATTTTTACATATATATATTTGTTCAAGTTAGAAAAGTCACGTTTATGTAAACAAATGTCATAAATCCTAGCAAGGAAATTTCATTATAATTACTTTAGTATGACCCAAAGTATCTTCTTTCTCAAAAATGATAATTTTTGGTGAAATAATGGCAGAATGTACTCTCAGATACCACTTATGAAGTTAATTCTTTTGTCACCCGTTTCATAGAAAAGCCTGTCCCATAATAGGATATTGGACATAACAGACTGAAGTGTGGTATTACCTTGCACCTATACCATATCTGAGCTTCTAGAGAACCTTCCTTACATCCACAGTAAAAGTTGAGGAAAAAAGTTCTGACATCAAAACATAGTGGCAAACTATAAGGGGCAGTCAAATGAAAACGGGGCACCATGCATAACTCACATGGTGTGCAAGTTGGTAACACTGGAATTTGCTTATGGTACGAACATCTGGCGGGGACTTGGGAATGAACAGTGACAACGTGCCCTTGAACACTAGTCGTTTGTTTATTGTGCTGGAAGTAGGGTTAGCACTACGTGTGTTCATCAAACATAAGTAATGGAGGCAGGTAAAGAAGAACAGTGAAGTGCAGTGAGCTTTTTGACTGTTGAAGGAGTAGGTGGACAAGAAATTCATTGTTGCATGTCTGTTGTTTACGGCGAACACAGCATGTCACGTTTGTGTGTGCTGGTGTGGTATAAGAGATTCCGAGAGGGACTTGGGTCACTGCAATATGATGCTCGCCCAGGATAGACTCATCATGTCATCACTCCTGATGTTATTGCTGTGTTGGATAGTCATATCCTGGCAAACCGACGGATCACTGTGGAAGAAATAAGTCTTTTGATGGGAACAAGTCACGGTTCCATAATTCCATTGTGACAAAACACCTGCTGTACTGCAAAATCTGCATGCAGTGCGTTCCACATAAACTCACGGAGGAACAGAAGACTCAGAGAATGGCTGCATCACTGGGTCACTTGCAACGATACCATGAGGAAGCGTATGCTTTTCTGTCCTGTATTGCCACTGGGCAAGAAACTTGGTGCCACCATTTTGAACCCGAGAGCAAATGGCAGAGCCAACAGTGGAAACATGTGAATTCTCCCCCACCGAAGAAATCCAAAGCCGTACACACAAATTCCGGTAAAGTGATGATGATGTTCTTCTTCGACTGCAAGGGCCCTGTGTTTGTCGAATTTCTTATCTCCCAGTGGGATAAATGTATTAACAGTTTTGGAGATTACTTTTGAGGTAAGAAATGTTCTTTAATATGTTTTGGCTTCTGACCCGTTTCCATTTGACTGCCCCTCATATATACACTTCACTGACATTCTCCCATCTGTCTTGGAATAGGGTTACTGAAGAAACAGCCTAAAATAGTACTTACCATCTTCAGTGTTGTATGCCTGTCCTTTATCAATTATTTTCTGAACAAAGTTTATGATTTGTGGAATGAAGTTTGTTACTTTGGTAACAACTGTTGGTGGCATAATATTTAAACTAGCCATGTCTTCAAAAAATTCCATTTCATAGCGTTCAGCTAATCTTCTTGGCTCTTCTTTAAGTTGAGCAGCACGAATGATAATTTTGTCATCAATATCTGTGACGCCCATCATCATGACAACATTGATATTGAAATAATTCAAGAGAATCCTATTTATTGTGTCAAATTTCATATAACAGCTAAAAGTTACAGATAAAAGAGAGCATACATTAGTACTTTTAATCAACTAAGTAACTAACTACATAACTACATGGTGCAGTATTTCTTGAGAAGTTGCTACTTGCACATCTGATCATGATGTATTACACTTTTCAGGGAATCTATAGTTTCATTATCATGCTGACACAAACCCACAATTGGAACCTCAGATGAATCCAGTTAATGCTTTATTCCTTTAAGATTAATTTTAATATTATCCTCCCATCTATGCCTAAACCTCTTAATACTCTCTACCGTTGAAGTTTTGCAAATAAAATTTGTAATCACTACTAATCTCCCCCATGCATTATAGAATTTCTACCTTACACAAAGGAACCATGTTATTCTGTGAAAGGAAGTTCTAACACTAATGAAATGTTATCATTGTTCAAATGGAGAAGCTGGTGGCTTTCATACTTATGTCTCACTGTGCAACATCTTTCAAGATCTGGTTTGACTATACCATTTGTATAGAAGTTCACAAATTAATGAATTATATAAGAAAATATCAAATGTTGGTTACAATTTTACTTCTAAAATAAGTAACATTTGCCTCCTAGCCTGTGATAAACAATTGATACAAGATAATAAGTTACAATTGTGGTTGAAATCTTTCGGACATTTCATTGAACTCTCAAAGACATCATATATATTAACTGTTTTCATATTTGGTACTAAATACTGATTTAAGTTTCACTAAATTTCAAGATTATGGTCTTCTGGAATGCGATGCTGTGCACCTTGGTTGACAGATAATAATTTTTGGAGGAACCTATTACTTCCATTTTTGGGGTATTACACTGAAGGCAGAATCAGCACATTTCTCCAAAATGTTATTGATCTACTTAATTACATGGCATTACAACCAAGAAAACATTAATTTTTATACTCACTGCTGTAAGAATATGAAATTTATCTATAAAAGATAGCTAATTTCAATCAGAAACAATTGCTCACAACAGTTAGAGGCAGATATCTTGCTGACGTATATGAAAGAGAGTTTATTAATGATGAATCATTTAGCACAGACAGTTATGGCATTAATGGGTTAACCAGTTTTCCTGCTTAACACCTCTGATCACACTTACATGATGAGGGGTTATCTACCTGAATATCAAAGCAATAAGGAAAGTGAATGCATTCTGTCAAATGCAGTGCCATGATGCATTAGCATACAAAATCAACTGTGTTCAGAGTTACAAAATGTACTAAACAATGTGCTGCATTAATGCAATGCAATCAGCAAAACCTTTAAAACTAATCTGTAACAAAATATCTAACAAAGAAGGCAAAGCTCTAAAGTGGATTCATAGGTGTTATGTCCAATGTTTGAGATGAGTCTCCATGTACCTAGTAATGAGTCACTAAAGCAACCACAGTTGGAGCTTAAAAGCAGATGTATATTCAAAGGAAGCATTCTGAATAAGCTCCCCTCCTAAAACTACACAAATAAAAACACTGTACAACAGTCTCATACTTAGACAAAATTAATACTTCTTCTCTACATAATATATTCAAATATAGCAGCTGTCAATTTCAGCACCACTTATAATAACTCTTATGTATTTCC